TTGTAAGTATTTGGATATGTTGTGAGGCCACTATTTGCTTTATTTTGTTGATGTCTATTTTTTATGTTTTGTCTGTCTCAGTGTGACAAAAAAAAGATTTGAGAGACCACTACAGGCAAACAGAGCGATTCAAGGTAAAATTATTTTCTACTAAATCTATGCATTGACACTGAACAAAAACTTCAATCTGTTAGTGAAACTTCTATCGGTGTAGGATGTTTCAGATGGATGTGATCAGTCTCTTTCCACTGGATTTGCTGTATGTCAAATCGCTCTTGAGGTTCCCTCGCCTTCTAAAGGTAAAAAAACACACAGACCCTGTTCTCGTCCCACTTTCACAAACACATGCTTAAAACTCACACTTATTCTGTGCCTCTTTTGCAGTACAATGCATTCTTTGAGTTTAATGCATCGTCTGAGCAAAGCCTACATTTACAGGTAAGACTAGATTCCACCACTAGAGGTCAGTATAACACAAAGCGGATACCTCTTAAAGGGACAGTTTACCCAAAAATTCGGGGTGAATCTCTTTTATTGTAAAATAAATGGCAAGGTCACATTTTACCCCAAAATCAAGAAAGAACTAGGAAATTGTATTTTAAGGAAATAAGACTTATTTAGGAATACAAAGCATCATTATTTTCATCATAATTCCCCCAAATTTAAAAAAATAAGACCATTACTATATTATGAAAAAAATTATACATTTTTTAAGTATGAATACTTTAAAAATGTGTCTTTTCTGGTAGTACAGTAATGAGATTTGGGGTAATTGTTTACAAATTATGAAAATGTATGTTTTATTCTACTTATTTAGCAGATTATTTTTTACAATTATGGTGTTATCTAATCAGAGTTATTATAGTTAAAACTAAAAACCATTAAAAACTAAACTATAATAATATTACAATAATAACTAAAACTAATAATAACTAAAACTAAAACCATTAAAAACTTTTGTGCCTTGAAATTAAATCAACTTTAACTTATTTTATTTCAACATTGTAACGTTTCCGACATTTAGTTTAACTTGATGTACTAAAATAACCAAAACTAACTCTGAAATATAAATAAAAATAAACTCATTTTTAAAATTTTAATAAAAATGTCAATAATAGACAAAAATACAAAAAAATATATAAAAAAATACTATTAAAATTTAAATAAAAACAGAAAAAATAATAATAATAATTCAAAATATTAACAAAAAGTATAAAATGATACTAATATCAAACTGTATCTAATGAGAAGCACTCATCACTAATGAGATCAGAATCACTTATCACTAAGATTTGGTTAATTAGACTTGTAGAATGTGATAAAATATAAAAATAAAATGAAAATATAAAAAATATTTAAATATACATATATGTTTGACATAAGAAAATAATCTTTGTCTTAATGCAAATTATAATTTCTTATTTTTGTCTAGTTTTTGAACTGAAATATGCTTTGGCCATTGATCTATTCTGCCACTTTAAAATAATCAAATCATAAAACTCCATGCATTGTAAAGTCTTGTTTTCCTCTGCGCTGTGTGTGTGTGTGTGTGTGTGTGTACTCATAGATGAGAGATGTATTTGGAGCTGCTACTGCAGGTGAGGCCTATTACAGACACTGTGTGGACAGCACTGTCAAATACATGAGCTCCTACAGAATCCCCCGCGAGATCCAGAACCACATCGAGATCTGGTACAACTACACCTGGAAGTCGAATTACACTGCACTAGATGTTTGCATATGATATGTGTGTTTAGGCTGTGTTTCATGATCCGTTTGTCTTCAGATGAACAGGAGTTACTCATACAGCTGCCAGATAAGATGCGTCTGGACATCGCTGCAGATGTCAACTACAGCATTGTCAGCAAAGTGGCACTCTTTCGGGTGAGTATCTATTATTTCACTTTTTTCTTTCTTTCATGAACACACACACACACACACACACAGAATGACAAAGTCTGAATGACAAAGTCAAAATACTGCTGGAAAAGCAGCCCATTCCAGTTTAAGGCTGGTTTGTTTCTGGTCTAAAGTGGTCTTGCTCCTGACCAAGATGATCTGTTAGGCTGAACAAAGTTCCACTAACTTGTTGTTCAGCTGATTAAACACGTTAGGACCAGCTAATGACCATATTTGACCAGCTTGAACCAGAAACAAATGTACCAGACATAAATTCAACTTGAAATCAAACTGACCCTATTTCTATGGGAGTAAACCACAATTGACATTTCATCACAATACGATCTGACATTGATTCTCTTAGCCAGTGATACAATATTTGTCGATACCTCAAAATATGCTGTGATTCGTCTGTGCCGATAGCCTTGTGAACCTTTCCCGAAACCGTCTAATAACTTGCTTGCTTGCCTCTGAAACAACTTTCCTGACACGGCAAAGCACTATTATTTTTTTAATGCCTCATGTCTAAATATCTGTCACATCACTTTTCACCATCCAATTACTTCCCAATGGATCAACTCGTTTAGTTTCTCTTTGAGTATCCTGTTTCATCTGTTTAAAATGTCACATGATGATACTGTAATGGGTTGTGAAAGCCATTGAGAAGTCTTTGTCTCTTGTTCGTTCCAGGGCTGTGACAGACAGATGATATCTGACATGCTCAAGAGGCTGAAATCTGTGGTGTACCTTCCTGGAGACTTTGTTTGTAAAAAAAAAAAAAAGTGAGCAATATGTCATTTACTATTTTTGTGATTTACTGTACATGCTTTGCTACTGCATTGCAACAATATAATAAAACCTCCAGTAGTTAATCTCAGTATATGTCCAGTTTGAAGGTTGTCTCAGTAAAGGTCACACCATGAAAGAGCCTTTTATCTGTTAGCGTTTTGAACTGACTCTTGTCCTGCTCGGCTCTGCCGGTCAGGGTGAGATCGGCCGAGAGATGTACATCATCAAAGCTGGAGAGGTGCAGGTGGTTGGAAGGCCTGATGGGACGACAGTGTTTGTGACTCTGAGAGCTGCCTCTGTGTTTGGGGAAATCAGGTGAGTGATAATTATTGAATAATTATCATGTACTGATCAGGTCAGCTTAAAATATATTATGACGGCTGAATAAAATTGCATGTGATCTAATAGGAAATGTACTACTTATACTATTATTTTTGTATTATGCAACAGCATTACCTACTACATTTGCCAAAATATACTATATCCCACAATGCAATGTACTCAACTTGACCTAAAAAATAATTTTTGTACACATGCACTCATCCTCATGTTGTTCCTGCATAATCGTATAAACCTGTGTAAGGTTCTTTCCTTTTCGGGACATGAGAGATATTTTGAAGAATATTGGTAACCAACCAAACAATTTTGGTGACCATTGAGATATTTCATATCTTCTTTTATGTTCCAATTAAGAAATAATGACATCATTTTCATGTTTAGGTAACAGTGATGAGCATTATCAAATGCAGTTTTCTTGTTGAAAAATGTAGTTTTCGACTTTTGAATAGAATGCAAAGATAAGATTTGTTATATTTTTGGAATATCACATAAACTCTGATTGGAAACGCTAAGATGAAGAATATTGGTAACCAACCAAACTATTTTGGTGACCATTGAGATATTTCATATCTTCTTTTATGTTCCAATTAAGAAATAATGACATCATTTTCATGTTTAGGTAACAGTGATGAATGAAGCATTATCAAATGCAGTTTTCTTGTTGAAAAATGTAGTTTTCGACTTTTGAATAGAATGCAAAGATAAGATTTGTTATATTTTTGGAATATCACATAAACTCTGATTGGAAACGCTAAGATGGACATACAGTAAAATCGTAAAATACATGTTAAAAATGTATGTGCACAGTTTAGGTGGATACATATTTTTTTATCTGATGAGAAGGCATGCAAAAAAACAATGGAAACACATTTACCAAATAAATTCCTCAATGTGCAACAAAAAAACTCATGAGATTTCTTTTCCTCAACCAATCATGTGATTGGATAACTGAACTAACCAGCACACCATCTCAAATATTATTTTAATCATTTTGAAATGCCTGAGCCAAAGTCTGTCATCAAAATGATTTGGTGTAATCACCTCTCATATGATCAGGCATCCGAACGCAAGATAGCATGACAGCATTCGTTACTGCATTTCATTTGGCAGAATTCATTTATTAGGTAGGAAATTACAGCCACAGGCTTTCCCAGTTGCAGCAACTTTCATTTTTATTATTGAAACTTCCACCAGTTTCCCAGGAATTTATGATTTTGTTGTTTTGAACACATGAGATGGAAACGGTGCAACACTGGATGGAAAAATAGCTAGTGTGAGAAAGATAAATCATGCTTTATGTGTGAAAAGCCAAACTCTGACTGTTTTTTATGTGTGTTCACTCCATCAGTTTGCTGGCGGGTGGTGGCGGGAACCGACGGACGGCTAACGTAAAGGCCCACGGTTTTGCTAACCTCTTCATCATGGATAAGAAGGACCTGGCAGAGATCTTAGTGCACTACACCAAGTCCCAGAAGCTGCTGCACAAGAAGGCCAAGTGAGAGGGATCGGAGCTCGAACCTCAACCAAGAGCCCCAGCAATCCTTACACACACACACACACACTTCATCCAGCGCAGTGGTTTGAGCCATTTACAGCTCTGTATCACACTCACAGATCTCTGTACTGTAGATTAGCCATGTTTGCCTTTCTCTCTACGTCCTTCTTTCCCCCTACTTTCTCTTTAATGCAAGGAGGAACCTGGGAGATTAGTGTTTGATTTTGTTAGTAATTGAGATACTGAAGAAGGTAAACGTAGTCAGACATGAGTCGCATGATGCATTCACCCATGAGACCAATTTACTGTGTGTGTGTGTGTGTGTGGTGAATGATGTTATCTAAATGCTTGAGATCCTGTCATCTGATGTCATCTCAAACCCTACTGAGGTCCGCTTCCTGTTAAGAGTCTCAGCGATGCACATGCTTGCTTACAACTCAACTTTCTGTCATCCTAATGAGTTTGCCTTCTTCCATAGGAAAATGTTGACCAAAGATAAGAAGCCTGCAGATGAGAAGGGCCAGGCTAAAGAGACGGGTGAGGTCATCCCGCAGCGGCTGGAGACGCCCAAATTATACAAGGCTGCACTGGAGGTTGGCACAGGAGAGACTTTTGCCAAGCTGAAGGTGGCATATAAGGGAGCAACTCTAGAGGTAATTTATATCCCCTGTTACTGTATGATGCTTTAGGCCAAAAACATATTTTGAAGACAGACAAAAACTCTGGCTAAAAAACAGATAACTGAAAATCTTGTACTCCACTGTAAGAACTGGTGCCTTAAGATGCATTGTAATAAATAAACGATATCAAATGTCATTGGTCCTAATGTGTCTTGAGACCAAACAGCATTTACAGCGAACTTGAAGTGATGCATCTAACCATATTTGACATTTATGCATTTGGCATTTGATTGATTTTCAGTTAATAATTTAAATGTCTACTTAAGACTTGAATATATGATCGGCGTGTGTTGTTATTTAGGTTTGTCAACTGTTTAACTAACCTTTGCTGATTTAACCGTGGTTAGCAACATTTTCTTCAAACATTTGCTTCACCTTGACTGTAATTGGCTTGAAAAGAGAAAACTGACCATAGAAGGTGACTAAATTAGTTCAGTAGTCAGAATATCATGAATATGATAAACATCATATCCTCATCTTGCTTGTTATTATATGTGAATTAAAAATGGGGACAAGACATTTTTGCAAGATTTTGTTTTTTAATTGTTTTGGGTTTCATAAACTATTGTTATAATTAATAATTATTATGATGTTTGCAGGTCAAACTGACCCTGAATGGTTTTAATACAGTTCACCAAAAATCACAGTATGAAAAATAGCAAATAGGAACCATTGCAAATAGCAAACAGATCAAAACAGTATCATTTTACAACAAAGTTGTGGCTTTACAAATAGACAAAATAAATTAATGAGAAAATAAATAATAAAAAAATATGCTAAAATATTTTTAACGATTACTTTAAACCTTTTTTAAATTGTATTTAATTTTTCCACTTTCACAAACTGTGAATATACTGTATACCGTCATTTTAAACTTTTCAATGTTATTTTATGTTTGTGCTTTTGGAAATGGATCTTTGCTTATCCCTAATGAGACATTTTAGGCTCATTTTGAGCACAAATTATGTGCTTACTCCAAATGTGCTGTAGTTGTTGTGTGTGCTGTTTAGTTCAGATGTGTGTGGGAATTACTGTGTTGTGACACCAGAACCTTCAGGAACTTTTAAAACTGTGTGCAAAACAATCCCACGCCCTGTCCAGGCCCGGTTATATAGCACATACAAACAGTATTACTTTCATTTAACATGAATAGTTAGTATGTGACTACCTTGAAACCGATAAAGGAGTCGCTCTTGATAATTGATGATAACAGCGCTCTGTTCTTGTGCAGGTAAAGTTCTTCATGTCTAACATGATGTAGTTTGTTGACATTTGTCCAGTCAGGCCCCTTACTACTTTTATCTGTTCTCTCTCTCTCACTCAGCCGTCCACTCCTGTCTCCGGCAGGACCTCCACAGCTCCAGTGCCCCCTCCCTCCCCCATGCACCGCCGTTCACCCATTCCACGGTCTCGCGTCCCAGATGAAGATGACATGGTATCAGAGACCACCGACAGCACCATGATCATCCGCATGACTCCCCGTGTTGAGGGAGAGGAGATCCTCTCTGTGGAAGTCAGTCCCGGAGAGGGAGTGGAGGAAGAAGGGCCGAGCAAATCTGAAGACTAGTGAGAGAAAGGATGAGGGCAAGGACAAAAACCAGAGTAGGGATAGGGTAGATAGCCTGAAGAAAAGCCCAATGCATACAACCCTCATCATGCTTTCTGTTTTAGCATGTTGGTGAAAGTCCTAAACATGCTTTTCAACCAATTTTTGGAGAATCTCTAGGCACCTTTTCAGAAAAGACCCATACTGTAAGTTCCTGCAAGAACGCTAGGCTTCCAGTGATTTTTCTAGTAAGCTCAAGTTTTTGAGGCATTTGAAACAAGATGATACACAATATCTAAAGGACTTTCATTTGCCTAGATGTTCTCTCAAGAGGTGAAAAGTATTACATTTTTAGAGGGGCACTGCTGTCTAAGGGTGTGTTTGCACTTATAGTTCGTTTCTCTTGGTTCTTTTGGTCTGGTTCAAAAAGTAAATGATACATTTAGCCCTGGATTGCACTGTTTAGATGTCATTTAGATGTATTTGGTCCGTATTGCTTTCATGTTTTTAAGTCAAACTGCACCAAAGTTTGTTTGGAAGAAGAACAAGACCTGCCTTTTCATGGGGTCTCAGTCTGCTTGTTTGGTGTGCACCAAGGTTCGAGTGTCAGCATTCAGACTTATTCAAATGAACTACACTAACAGAGTAATCGCACCAAATTTTCTTTTAACCAAACAAAATCTGCCAAGTGTAAACATGCCCTAAATATTATTTGAAAGTGAAGTGAGCTTCTGACAGGTATTCCAGAAAGAAGAGTTAACCCACTGTCATATAAACCCCAAATCTTTCTTCTGGTTATCGGTTCCAATAACCGGGAGTAAGTTCAGTCAACTCGGAGTATGTTCACGGTGAACACACAAAGACATTCTAAACAGGAATCCGCATGAAAACAGACGCCAAGAAGAAGTACACCATACGTTTTTGTTTAATGGCTATTATTATTGTTATATATTGCCTAACCTATAGGAGGTTTTGCAATCATCTCATGTTTTAAACCTTAATTGTTTTTTTTATCACTGCGAACAAGAATTATGTTGTTTGTTTGATACTAAATTTGTAAATTAAGAAAAACTGACTCAACTAAAAATAGTGGCTGTATGAGTTTATTTTGCTTCCACATTTGTTGTAAGGTGAGATCACATTTATTTTTTATTATAGAAATACATTATATAGAAAATGTCTTGTTGAAAAAAAAATTAAATAAACATTGCTTTATGCTATCATATTGCTTTACAAAAAATTTTAAAAAATGATGACTATATATATAACATTGTGTAAAACCTGTCACTCCCATTGAAACCTCCGTAATAGGGAACATATATACTGAATGTTCAAAGAATTACTTGCTATGACTACTTAAATTCCATGAAAGTTATCTCAGTTTTTGGAACCGAAAGTTGAGGTTATCTGTTTACTTATCAATAAACTTACCCGGGTATGTGGCATAACCTGCTTTCTGGAATACCCCTGAGCCACAACATTTCCTGAACACTCCGCCAACTGCCATTGGCCAGATAAACGGCTAGCCCCGCCTCAAACTCACACCATTGGTTGAGCCAGTGTTGCTGAGAGAGTAATGTTCTACTAGCGTCACAGTGTTTACATCTTTCAGTGGAATCAACCTGTTGGCTCGCCTATAGTTGTCACTGTATGTTATGCTGGGATAAGTAAAATATTCTAACATTGAAAAATGATATATACATCACTTTAACTTCCCTTTAAGGCCTTTGATGTTTAGGACTGAAGGGCCATTCTTAAATAAACATTGCTTTATGCTATCATATTGCTTTACAAAAAATAAAAAAAAATGATGACTATATATATAACATTGTGTAAAACCTGTCACTCCCATTGAAACCGCCGTAATAGGGAACATATATACTGAATGTTCAAAGAATTACTTGCTATGACTACTTAAATTCCATGAAAGTTATCTCAGTTTTTGGAACCGAAAGTTGAGGTTATCTGTTTACTTATCAATAAACTTACCCGGGTATGTGGCATAACCTGCTTTCTGGAATACCCCTGAGCCACAACATTTCCTGAACACTCCGCCAACTGCCATTGGCCAGATAAACGGCTAGCCCCGCCTCAAACTCACACCATTGGTTGAGCCAGTGTTGCTGAGAGAGTAATGTTCTACTAGCGTCACAGTGTTTACATCTTTCAGTGGAATCAACCTGTTGGCTCGCCTATAGTTGTCACTGTATGTTATGCTGGGATAAGTAAAATATTCTAACATTGAAAAATGATATATACATCACTTTAACTTCCCTTTAAGGCCTTTGATGTTTAGGACTGAAGGGCCATTCGAGTCAGCAGTACTGTGTAATGGAAAGTAATCTTGACTATTTTCCACAGCACACGCTGCTCTAATTCCAAGACTGCCTGCTGCTCTGCATGTTATTCCAACATCCTGTCTGTTATTGCCTTAGCGAATTCCCTCTGTACACACGCTTTTGTACACAACTTTACACACACAAGCATGTTACAACGACATTGTACAGTTATTTCTAGTCAAACTATACATGTTAAAATTCTGTGTGGTTCCAAACCTGTTTAACTTTCTGTAGTTTTAAATACGAAAATGATTTAATACGTTAAAATATTTTGAGAAATGGCTCAGTGTTTTTTATTGTATTTTATTTATTTTTATTTGTATGTTTTTCCTTACAGTGGAAGTCAGTAGTCACCAAATCAGCTTGGATGGATAATAATGGCAGAACATTCATTGTTGTGTGAATTATCCCTGTCTAGTTGCATTAAATACACTTTAACATTGTATCAGTTGTGATGTTACAAAGTAATATTGTGATGCATTACCATGTGAAGGCAATTTTCATGCTTTATTGGATATAACTGTTACATTTCTTTTATAAGGTAAGTCTAGAAAGCTAGACTTCGTCTAATTTCTTTCAAAAGACTCGTGAAAAGTCACATGGTGAAAATACCCCGCTGATATTTCCATGTGCTTTGATATGTACTACGAGTACTGATCAATTATAATTGATTTTTCAGTGTTTCCAGGTCAGGTCGTGCTGAACTTCTAGTGTGAACAGGCACCAAAGAATCTATAAATGGAAAGATACTGCATACTTTTAATTTGCATTTGTTGAGACTCATTCATTCACGTCTCAGACAGCCCTCATTTTTTTCATAAGAGGCTAGAAGAATGGGCAGGAATTAGGTTGATTGCATGTAATAGCTGTTCTATTTTTGTATACAGAAACTCAAGCATGATTGCCTGAGCCCTGTGACGAGGCCCACTAGCTACTCTTACAGTATAGCTTACTTTTTGGTCTCAGGGGAGAAGGCCTACCCATAAGGATTTCATCCCAGGTGCTGTGAATTTAAACTAAGCCCTGGATGTATGTGGAAAAAATCATAAAAAAAGTGAAATCTTGTAAAACAGGTCTAAATGCTCCTG